TTTCTCTCTCTCTCTCACACACTCTTCCCACGTACCGCAAGCTATGAACTCTGTTGCACAAGAAGGATACAATCTGTGTTCATAAAAAAGAAACCAAACCTTCCAAAGCAATGTTCGCTCAGCATGCATTCATTTTGAATGTAAAAAAAAAAACACCATTTTCCGCCCAAATCCACACCATTAATAATATTCCTCATTTCATTCATTTTTCGCCACTGAATACATACTGTACCGAGGCGGTGGACAAAAAGCATAAAAAATGAAACCAACAACTATTGGCCGATTATTACCAACCAGAGAATAAAAAAATAAAATATCCGTATTTACATGTAAAAAATATTATTGTATTTCTTGGTTTCCATATTTCCACACGTCTGTTATTATGAGAGTCGTTATTGATTTTTCAACCAAGGCAAATATCCGAGCAAGAGTCACTAAGAAAAAAATGATCTATCACTATACGGTATATTTCCACGTATAAGGCGACCTATAGATAAGACAAGACCCAAAATTTAAATAAACTTTCGTGATTTTATTTAGTATCCATAGTATAAGACGACCGAAAACCTAGGCTCGCCTCGGCCTCCATTAGCAGTTAGGCCTCTCGTAATGATTGCTAGGAGTATTTATACTCCTAGGAATCATATAAAGCTGATGTTATTACAAATGTTGTTTTACTTACCTTTATCAAATCAAAAGGAATTAAATAATATAAAATATTAACATGAATCTTTAAGAAAATAATATTCTTATGACTCATGCGAATGAAAACAAAAGTTGCGTATTCTCTAAGGAGAAATACGGATTTTATGGCATCTTAAATGTTTTGTTGCTTAGCACCGTTCTCTACCAAATCAAATACCGTATAATGTATGTTATTGAAAAATAAAGTTTGTATGTTATCTTAGATGTTGCTATTTAACACTGCTATAAGAAATAATGATTGGTGTGAACGCAGCCGCAGCTCTAGAAATCAAGAACGAAAGATTAGCGAAGAGAAGGTTTAATCCCATAAGGGACATGGGTTAATCATAAAATAATCATCCCGTAGTTCAGTGCGGCAATGCGTACGACTCAACGCTACAATCCAATTTATTCCGATGAGCAAATGTTCCTAAATATAGTGAATGGACGAGTTTATTTTCAACAAATAGTGTAGAGAAGGTCGGTCGTCTTTCTACCCAACATATTGTTTCACACCGCAAAAATAAATACCGTATAATGTACGTTATTGAAATTAAAGTTTGACTGTTATAATAAATGTTGTTTTTATTTAAACCCCCCAATAATAATGGGTTTTAATTAGAAATATGGATTGTATGTTATCTTAAATGTTGCTATTTAACACTACTATGAGAAATAAAGGTTTGTTTACGTTACTTGTTACTTGTACGTGTTGCTCAGCGGAACTTTTGCAAATTGTTCTGTAATCGTCTCTTGAATATTGCATTTTAATGAGAAATCAGGAAATAAAAGTAGTTTTATTACATTTATAACTAACGTACAGTATTCTAATGTGAATGGTTTTATGTAGAAATATTTACATCAGTAGTTACTATACCGAGGCAGCTGTTAGCCTACCGCGAACCATGTCGCAATCATACAAACCTACTTACCTGTGTTGATACACCAGAGGATTTAAGGTTAGCTTTTTGTAACTTTTGTATTAAACGAACCCCTATTGAGGGGGGGGGGTAATTTTTAAGATTTAAAGGTTGCCTTATAAATGGAAATATATGGTTCTCATGAAACTACCGACCGAAAGAATTAAAATAGAAAATTTTCAAAACGTTATTCCAGGACCTGAAACATATCTCTTTTCGGAAACGGAATCGATTTTTGATGTAGCGGTTTACTAAGCGTAGCTTAGATGTGACACAAGGCCAAAAGTATTGAGCACCCAATGAGGAGTGAACTCACTAGTCGTAATTCCCAGTGTTCTACTCGGCGCTCACTTTAGAAGCGCTTTTTATACGTAAATTCAAAAAATGTATTTAAAAAGACATACATTTTAACCGATAAAAATAATTAAAATTGCACAGTTTTATTATTAATTACTTTTTATTAGTCAATAAAGCAAGGATAGTTACCCCTTTTCATCTCCATATTATCAATCGGATTGATAATATAGACGCCCATTATTGTTATCTCCCGATTTAGAAACCCCATACTCTAAATCAGTGGTCCTCAACCAACGGGCTGTGGGCTGGTGCCGGTCCGCGGTCTGGTGCCGGTCCGCGGTCTGGTGCCGGGCCGCGGTCCGGTGCCGGGCCGTAGACCATTTGATATTGGGGCGCACAGGATGAATAAATACATTTTTTTCTATTTTATTGACTATTTCGATCTTGTTTATTGTGATTTATCATGCGCGTGATCGACACTGACCCCGCCGCCTCCGATTCGTTGGAAAATTTTCTTGCATGACACACGTCCATGTTGCAAGAAGGTTGGGGACCGCTGCTCTAAATTATTGAATATTTAAAAAAATGTTATTATTATTATTATTATTATTTTGGTGTGGCACATTCTCGTAGTCAATGGAAATTCTGTTCTTGAGACATGGTACCAACAAGACTCCTCACAACTCAAGAACTTTTAGAGGAATCCTCGTAGAAATAATGATGGCAGTTTTTTCGATGTCTACAGTCTTCGCCACAATTTCATTTTTCCTTAAGTGCTTTTTTTTCAGTTTTTTATATGTTGCTCAAAACGCAACCATTACGACAGGAATTGGTTCTACATTCATGTTCCATGGGATTTTTTTTTTTTAGCTCCCTGGTATTATTTTCTATTTTTCAGTTCTTTTTGGAGTTCATTCTTGTATCATATGGGTATACGTGTTTGAGTAGGTATCTATTTGAAAAACAAAATAAAATAAAAAAAAAAATGAAATTAATATCTACCGGCGTAGAGACGAAAAGTTTTATTAAAGGAAAGTTACTCCTCGACAGGAATCGAACGTACTTTCCCTCTAATTTGAGAAACCACTTTCAAGCCACTTGTAGTTTACGAAGATGGTAAAGGGGACGTCTACACAAACACGTGTACCCACAAAATATAGCGTTTATAATAATAATAATAATAATGTCATAATATGTCGGATTAAAAACCCATTAATGGGTTATCTATCTATCTATCTATCTATCTATCTATCTATCTATCTATAGATTTTGAATAAAGAATTTTTCCTTAGTGCAAAAAGTAATCTACTTTGCCACGGAGGCATCTTTAAAGAGTTCGAAATTGTAAACTTTATTTCTATTATTTTTATTTTTTATTTTTTTATTTTTTTTTTCAAAATAAAATTAAAAATGTAAATGTACTGCATTCGAATCTAAGAAATAAAAAAGAAAATTACTGGCGACTTCCCTGAACAAAGGGATTTAAATGATTTTCTCCAGGCTTATGAATTAGATTTAAACACAGTCATCGGGCGAGTGATTTCCCCTTGTTGTAGGACGATAAGAAAATCAAAGAGCGTTTAAATTTCATTAAACTAAAGAAATGATTTTTTTTATCAAAATATATTTTCTTGTAGTGGAGTTTGGTTTATTTTTGTCCCAATATGAGTTTTGTTTCTTTCGGAAAGTTGTCATTTTTGAGAACAGTGTGTTTGTGTGTGTGGGGGGGGAGGGGGTTCAATTTACATTCTGTGTTTAATAGCAAACTAGACCCATAACTTGTATCCATATTTATGACTATGGATGTTCAATTTTAAATACACGACAAACTTGGACCTTCGTGTCAAAAAAAAAAAAAAATTAATGTCAACAAAAGGACGGGCTTTTTCCCCCTTGACACTACTATTATCTATTATTTTAACTACTTTCACTTCTCGGCATTGTTTATTGTTTTAAAAACGTAAATATATCATGAAAATGAATTTATACATTTTCTTTTTTCTTTGAGAATTTACAACAAAGTATTAAATACTATTTATTTATTAGATTGTTTATTTACAAGAATAATTTTATATTTACAACTTTCTAAAAATTAATACATTTCGAACTAAAGCAATACAATATATATCAGTTATCAATTCTAAATAAATATGAAAACAATTTTTATTCATAAATTATTAAACTATGTAAACCAGCTATAAGTAATTCCTTATTATTTACCATTCTAATCATTTAAAGCAACAAATATTGTCGATAAGTGAAGGCAGTATATAATAGAAGTGTCAAAGAAAAAAAACGTCTGCTTGACATTCCAGTTTTTTTGCTTGTACGAAGGTTAAAGTTTTCGTTAATGCAAAGATTTGTGCAATTTACGGAAGCCCCTACCTCGAAAAAGAAAAGATTCAGTCGCACTTTTTCTATTTTATTGTTTTTTCTTCTTTTCCTTCTTTTTATTTTTAATATTAATGTAAATAACTAAATAGTAAAGAGTAAATAGAGCTAGAGTTTGGGGTTGGGTTTAGTTTTATTCGTAAAAATACGAATTGTGTTCTTAGTCGCTGAACAAAAGAAAATGCAACTTTATCCTTTTTAGAAATCCATAGTTTAAAATTATGGACGTATCCAATAATACCAACTGATAATAAAAAATGGACGTAACTTAGCAATATACTTACATTGTAAATTAAATCCCCATTTAAAAAATATTAATTTCCGGAAGTAATGAAGGTCATTATTCATTCAAAGCAAATATAAGAAAATACTTTTCCATATAAAAATCAGTTTAACCCAAACGGCTATTGCACATGTTATAACTACATCTAAATAATAATAAAAAAAAAAGCTTATCAAATGACGTGTGTATATCAATTTTGCACATTCAATGTGATTTAATAGCGTTCCTTGTCGGTTATTTATGATTTTCGAGTTGTTTGAAAATGTTAACAACAATCCAAATTAAACCTTTTTTCCCGCTATAGCAAGAGATTTTACCTTCTATAATTTTTCCCCACTGCTGAATGTTCTGATTTAAAGGTAAAAAAAATATCTGTGTTCCTTGGAAAGATTTCTTTTTAACTGTAGTTCAGTTTAAATCCGAAATTATTTGATGACCGAAATTGACTGTTGGGGTTCATCTGATGGTGGTGGCTGACTCTGCAATGAAAAACTACTACTGTTTAGTTTTAGAGGCGGCAGCCATGATGGATACTGATAGTCAAAAAGCATATAATCCTTTTCATACATTTTCCACAATTTCTGTACAAATCGTGGCGATATGGATCTATAATATTTGGCAACGAGATTCGTAGTTGTTGGGTGTTTATACGTCTCTTCTCGTGACGGAAATCTCACCCAATGGTTAGGGGTCAGGTTCCGTAGAATAAAGTACGCATCTCGATCCAGCGTTTCATATTTGCCAATGAAGTCATACTTAAGGAGACACGGATGACACAAGGTGTTGAAGTGTTCCCAATGATCATTGAGTCCTCTCTTGCGGGTCGAAGGGTCAAGTAGGTAACGCACAAACTCAATGAACGTTACGTTACTTTGGCGCATAGTTTCAGACGTCATGTTACGATCTCGATATTTCTTCAAAATTTTTCTGCTGAACTTCTCGAAGAAGTATTCGTTCTGATGATTCTGGATCTTGTTACGAAACGCCGACAATAGACGTTCGAACGGCTCGCGAACGAACAAGAATTTCTTATATTTCTTCACTCGGTAGGAAATTCCTCCCGAGGAGAGTTCGCTAAGGTAGGTCAAGTCCCGATCATAAGAATCATGAACATGTTTAGCTTTTAATTCTGACGCTTCGGTTGTGTTATAAAATCCAGTAAGGACAAGTAAAACGCGTCTCCAATTGGTACAAGCCACTTTAGGGATTTGACAATACATGAAGCCATATTGGTCATTTACAATCACGCTGTAAAGGTCTTCTTTCTTAATTTTATTTTTGTGGGCGATTAAGCCAAGTGTGCGACATGCATTGCGCAAGGCCTTTTTGCGGTGTTCTTGGTCTTTCATGAAGTTAGTATATTCCTTCTCCCACGTGAACACAGGATCCATCTACAAAAAATAAAAAAAAATAAAAATAAAAACAGAAACATAAATATATTTTATTTCTGATTATTTTTTTAAAGTCTTATTGTTTTCGAAAGTTGCACTCTTTTTGATATACTAATGTTTACCGAATACAAGGCTCGTAAGCCATTCAATGTAGAGGGTTACTGTTTAAATGCTTATGATGAATGATGTGTGTGACATGAATGAAAGACGAGGTGGTAAGAAGTGAAGATTACGAAAATAAAAAAAATAAATAACGATCGAATCCTATTATTATTATTATTATTATTATTGCACAACAGTTAAGAGAAGAACGTGATTTAAGAAAAGAAAAAGAAAAGAAAAAACAATTTGTGTTTGACAATTTTAACAATATTTCAGCAAAATGTCTGTCTTCTTCAAGTTATTTTTAAAATAAAATTTTCAAGTATAAAAATATATAAATCTACAAAAATGATAAGTTTTTGTACCAATGTTGCTTGTCTTGTAATGAAAAAAACGGCTGTACTGGTAATGAACGCGTCAAAATGAATGAAAGGCAGCCAGGGCGAAGGCATGAAACTGAAACGTGCTTAATATGATGTTCATCTTGTTCATCTTGGCATTTTTCTTTTTTAAAATAGCGCTCTTGTTAAATAATAGTTTAGTAGACTATTATTTTTAGGGTAAATGTATCTCGACTTCGACTTCCGGAGATTGACATTCAGGGTCAGATGTGAGCCATAATAGGAAAGTCGATTTTCATTGGTTGAGCTAGCGTGGAAAAGATAGATAGGAGAGAGGTTTGAGGAGTTGATTCTTACCCGTCAAGTGATGTAGACGTTTTCTTTTTCGTGTCCGAAACGACTCTCCAGTGAAGGGTGGTGGCGACCCCTTAATGGATAGTTATATAATGTACATGTCGACATGAATAATAAAAATAGTTTAGTTAAAATTCTCCGTGTTTGAAATTTTCATTGTTGAACCAAAACAATTAGTGATCGCCGGCCGAGAGAAGACGAGATGAGACCACGCCAACATATTATCGAATTGCCAATGGTGACCAGGACCTTCCAGCATGGGGTGTGTGTAGTGAGGGCGAGTTTGACGCAGAATGAAGGTTACAACACAACGTGGAAAAGTTCGGAGACATTAAAGTGGCAGAAGACTCGACAAGGAGAATAAGGAATAAAAGAAAAGAAAATTAATCAAGACTTAAGGACAGAGAAGAAAAACATATAAGTACGATGATATTACTATGTTCTACGACTCACGCACGCGCGCACATCTAAAAAAAAAAAACAAATCAAAATAAGAGGTAATTATGAAAAAAAATCTAAGAGGAAAAGATGAGAAAACATTTTGTGAGAACATTTTTTTTTCTTTAAGGCATGGAGTTTCCAATGAAAATCTCAACTACACCCGGAATTATCAAATAACGGTTAGAGTAATAAGAAATAATGACGGATTAAAAAAATCAATTCATATATATATATATATATATATATATATATATGAAGCTTTGTATAGATTATTAAAATGACTAAGGGAAGTAACTATTCATAAATTTACTAACTCGAGTTTATTTACCTCCCTTTACTATAGACTAAGGGTCACCAAATGTTTTTAACACAGAGGGCCAGGTAACTGAGAGAATGACGAGTGTGGGCCGGATAACCATTTTGTTCAATAAAATACACATTGAATGCACAAAAATAAAGACAGCAAATATACTTATTTACTAAAGATTTATCCAAGAAGTCGACAAAGTAAGTTTAACTACAATCTATTGATAATTCTATATAAATAATTATATTTTAGCTCATTTGTGGCAGAGTGAAACAGCGGGCCGGGTGAACCGACACCAGGGGTCGAAACCGGCCCGCAGGCCGCAGTTTAGTGACCCCCTGCTATAGACGATGGCACGAAAGATTTAAATAAATACACATCAATAATTATTATATAGTAGATTGAAAAAGTAATCGACGTAACAAAGTAAAAGATATCCAAAAGAACTTGATTAAACTAGTGCGGAGCCTGTAGCATGAGTTATAAAGGAGCTCTAAATTAAACAATACACATAAATATTAAATAATAAATCATTTACTTGCATAGTTTGTTAAACAGGTAAATATCTAACTTCTATTAACATGATAAACGAAAAAATATGAGATAAATGATCCTAATAATTTGAATGGATTTTAATGGCATCCATATAATGTTTCTTTAATTAAAGATGCGGCTCCCCTAATATGTAACCATTGACCTTGAGAGATTGTAAAATGCTGATCTCTCTAGACAGCTTGAAAGTATTTAATACGAAGCTCTTGAGAATCCAAACCCATAGAATTTGCTATTTTTGCTACTAGGTTAATTTGGTACTGCATCCGGTAATATTTCAAACCTACAGAAATATCACTGATCCAAAAAATACACAGAGAAAAGACAACATGGTGTATTTTGCATTCTTCTTCTTTTCTGTGCCGTGTCCATTCTGAATGATGGTAATCATGGACCTCCACAGCTTCTTATCCGTTGTATCTCTAAAGCAATGTTTGTAACCCTACTATCTTTCCCAATCTCCATTTTGCCATCCATTTACACAAGCTCAGAGGTTGGATACTCGCTGTTTCTCTCTGCTTCTCTTGTATTCAGTATGTCACCAGAATGTTAAATTCTCCAAGCCGTCTTTTCTCATTGTTTCCCAGAACAAAGTAGCATAACTGTTATCGGTGCAGAAAGTAGAATCAGCGTGTCGATGTCAAATTCTATCACTTTCGCACTGGCACCCATTGGAAAAGCAATTCCCCCCATCTATGGGCTAAATAACAGGATCGATTAGGCCTTGATAACTGCTATTCTAAGAGAAGAACAGCTTAAGCAAAACTCAAAGTAAAAATAAGACAAAATATCTTCAGGATATCTGTCTGTATTCCTGAGATGGGGTATTGTAACTATTTACATTGTTCGGACTGTTGTCCTCATCTTTATTGTCATATCCACGACGTTTCGGCCGTTGTAAGTCCCGGTCTTCTTCAGGTGATTGGAATTTCGAACTGAACCCTTTATTTCGTCCACCAAGGTAGATTCTTCTAGTTCCATGTGCCATGCCTTTTTTGGATATCTCAGTTTCGGTTAATTACCTTTAGTAACTCAACTCCCCAAGATTTTTTTCAAATCTGCTGTGACCAGGTATTGAACTCACAACTCTTTAGGTCAAGTCTCTGGATTAATTCTTCTATCGCTTTTATCAACCGTGCCATATGTCCTTGGAAACTGAGATACCCAGAAAGGGCATGGCACTCTACCCCGGTGGACGAAATAAAGGTTTCGATTCAAAATTCCAGTGTATATCACCTGAAGAAGACCGGAGCGTACAGCCGAAACGTCATGAATACGACAATAAAGATAAGGACAACAGTTCGAACAATGTAATGTTCGAATAGTGTAAATAATCTTCAGGATAATTAGAGAAAAACAAATAAATATTAATACAGAAAAACCCGGTAACTGTGGAAAAAAGTTGAAAGAAATAATAATAATAATGATAATAATCATAATAATAATAATAATAAAGAACCGCCAAGTGAAGGAAACCACCAACCTTTCTATCTAAGCAATTAGAAAAATAAGGGACGAAATGGAAAAACCGATGAACCTGACAGAAATTAAATCATCTTATATACGCAGCCTCGACAACAATCGTAGAAACAATAGATAAGAAAGGAAAACACAACTGTCGACATTTGAGTTTGAACACGGATTGTCAGAGAGCAAGCACAGTCGACCTCATCTTGAAATAATTAGATCACGTGACGTATATATATGCGAATTAGCGGCGTTTGACCGACTATAGTTCGAAAGCGTTGCTATTATTGTATTTGTGATTTACAAAGTCTCTCCTACAAACGGACATTACAAAAACAACGTAAAAGAAAAAGAAAAATGTCAGTCGGGAAATAAAAAATAGAAATCGAAATAAATAAACTACGAGGACACTTGTCACTTCCAAGTGAAGTAGACAAGGGCTTGAAAATGAAAGAAAGAAAAGGGAGACAACTGAAACGAAGCTTTGAGATAAAGAATAAGACTGACGTAGCAAAAGAGAAACTGAAACAACAAGTACAAGCGAAAGAAACAGAGAATCAGGCGTTATGAAAAGAGAAACAGATTCTTCTGGTAAAACAAGATCTTCAAAGAAGATGCCAAGAAAATATATCGAGAAGGTGTAAAAAATAAATGAAAAGAGAAACAGATTCTTCTGGTAAAACAAGATCTTTAAAGAAGATGCCAAGAAAATATATCGAGAAGGTGTAAAAAATAAATGAAAAGAGAAACAGATTCTTCTGGTAAAACAAGATCTTTAAAGAAGATGCCAAGAAAATATATCGAGAAGGTAAAAAAATAAATGAAAAGAGAAACAGATTCTTCTGGAAAAACAAGATCTTTAAAGAAGATGCCAAGAAAATATATCGAGAAGGTGTAAAAAATAAATGAAAAGAGAAACAGATTCTTCTGGTAAAACAAGATCTTTAAAGAAGATGCCAAGAAAATATATCGAGAAGGTGTAAAAAATAAATGAAAAGAGAAACAGATTCTTCTGGTAAAACAAGAGGATTTAAAGAAGATGCCAAGAAAATATATCGAGAAGGTGTAAAAAAAATAAATGAAAAGAGAAACAGATTCTTCTGGTAAAACAAGATCTTTAAAGAAGATGCCAAGAAAATATATCGAGAAGGTGTAAAAAATAAATGAAAAGAGAAACAGATTCTTCTGGTAAAACAAGATCTTTAAAGAAGATGCCAAGAAAATATATCGAGAAGGTGTAAAAATAAATGAAAAGAGAAACAGATTCTTCTGGTAAAACAAGATCTTTAAAGAAGATGCCAAGAAAATATATCGAGAAGGTGTAAAAATAAATGAAAAGAGAAACAGATTCTTCTGGTAAAACAAGATCTTTAAAGAAGATGCCAAGAAAATATATCGAGAAGGTGTAAAAAAATAAATGAAAAGAGAAACAGATT